AAACCCCTGTCTCAAAAAACCAAACCAAACCAAAAAAAAAAAAAAAAAAAAAAAAGAAAGGAAAGAAAGCTATGTGACCTGTTGACCTGTCAACTGAATGAGGCCTGCTCACCAACAGATCTGAAGAAATTGAGCCAAGTGACTCTTTGGCATGTGGCCATCAGAGGTCCCTGGGTGAGAATGGATTCTATCTGCCAGCTCTCTCTGGAGCAAGAAGACTGGCCTGCACCTCAGCCACAGATTAAAGGACAGGCTGGCCAATGATATGAGGGCAGGGATGGACTAAATAAAGGACTCTGGTAATTGCAAAGCCTGTGATGTTCCCACAAACATGAAATGGAGGAGTAGGAGAGTACACTGGGCTAGCCCTGGCCCTGACCAGCTCAGCTGACAGCTGGATGCCATAGAGCAGGTTACCCAGAGAAGAGTGACTTTAGTGGGGACTGAGGGAATGAACCCGGAGTGGCAGTTGATGAGGCCGAGGCACAACTGAGACATCCAGGAATAGTTAGTGGCCACTCATGGCCCGAGAGCCACCATTAATCCCAGGGGCACACTAGCACTAAACTCCAGAGAAAGGCTTTCTTGGCCTTTGATTTGTGTGAGAGATGGAGTATCCTTGTCTATACAGCCCAGGCTGGCCTCCTCCTCAGCTTCCCATAGGCTGAAGTTACAGGGACATAACAACACACCCAGCCCATTCTTGAGAAACATTTCAGCAGCAAATCATGCACCATGACAGACAAGATAATCTCCATAAAAAGACTGATTTTCTCAGCAGGAAATGTAGAAATAAAATGGAGAATTGATCAATTACATGTCTTTAGGCTGGTTTTTAACTTGCACTTATTTGTTTATTGGTGTGTTTGTAGGCATGTGCCACAGAATTCATGGGAAGACCAGAAGACACTTGTAGGAGCCAATTCTCTCTGTCATGGGGGCCCAGGGACCAGTCTCAAGTCCTCAGACTCAACAGCAAGTGATCTTACTGAGCCATCTCATCTGATCAAGGGTGAAAGTTTTTTCAGTCTTCCTACATAGCCCTGGCTGGCCTACAACTCAGAGACCCACTTGAAGGCAGACCTCAAACTCAGATCTGCCTGTCTCTGCCTCTGGAGTGATGGGAAAACTTGTATATTTAAAATATTCTTTCCAGGTGGCTGGAGAGATGAGCTCAACAATTAAGAGGACTGGCTGTTTTTCCAAAGGATGGGGCTTCTATTCCCAACACCTACATGGTGGTGGTTTACAACTGTCTATAACTCCAGTCTACAGGGATCTGATACCCTCTTCTGGCCTCTGCAGGGACCAGGAGCACTTGCGGTACACAGACATACATGCATACAAAACCTTCAGACACATAAAATTGTAAGTTTAAATAAATAAAACTTTCCCTTACTGCCACATAGAATGTTGCTGTAAGTTTTGTTTTTCTCTCCATAAGTATCCAACCAGGGTAAAAAGTGGCACCAAAAACCCACAAATAATTCCAACAAATGCCCACCTCAAAACCAGCAGGAAGCCTGGCAATGGTGGTACACACCTTTAGTCCCAGCACTTGAGAGGCAGAGGCAGTCCATGAATCTCTGAGAGTTTGAGGCCAGCCTGATCTACATAGCTAAGTTCCAGGACAGGCAAGGCTACATAGTGAGACCTGAACATGAATCCTATCAACAAGTACAAATAAACACAGTTTAGGTACCTTTGCCTTTCTTGGCAGATTACCATTATTATTATTGGTTTTTGGTTTGTGTTTTGTTTTGAAGACAGGATTTCTCTGTAGCTTTGGAGCCTGTCCTGTAACTGGATCTGTAGACCAGGCTGGCCTTGAACTCACAGAGTTCCACCTGCTCTATCTCTCCAGTGCTGGGATTAAAGGTATGAACCACCACTGCCTGCCTCTAAGCAAATTGTAAGGAAAACAATTCTTCAGTACAGTAGTAAAACTGAGCCCTGCATAGTCATTTCCCAATGACACTGACATATTATTGCAAACACACCCCCAAACAGAAGCTAAATTTCCCACTCCAGGTTTAGGGTTCCACACTGGACTTGGATGAAATGATATTTCCATCTCAGGACCTTAGTTTTACAGGAGAGTAAGCCCCCAGAAAACATCTCAGGCACTTCCCCACCCTCCAGGCCTTAAGCAGAAGTCAGACTCCCAAGTGGTCTCCATAACTCACCTCTCTAAGATGGGGAGATGGTGCATGCTATATCCTGAGTATGATTGTACTGTGATCCTGTCTTCAAATGGGAAAAAGGAGGCACAGGAATGTCTAAGGTGGGAATTGGAAAGGGATGGGGCCCTGGACACTCCTGACAAGTCCTTCTGGTTTCCTCCCGGCAGCAATCCATGAAGTGTTTCTTTTTGCAGTACTGGGAATTGAACCTACAGCATCACTCACACTAAGTAAGTGGTTATGCATTGAGCTGCATCCAAAATCCCATGATGTTTTTAGGTCCTATGAGGAGACTCAGCTCCCAACCTTAAAGGGCCTGTTCTGGTGCCTAGTATAAGCAAGAAAATGTAGTTTCAAAAATGGTATTCTCAGAAGGGACCTTAGGGCTGCTTCATGGCCAAAATGGATTGCACTGGACTGCCACCTGCTGGCTAGAAGTTGCCACTGCAAGTTAGGTTAAAACCCCCTGGTCCAGTCCTTCCACTAAATCCTCAGCCATGGCAGGGCTTCTGTGGTGACCCCAAAGCATAAAATCGACAATTATCAACAACAGGGATCTGGAGTGAGTCCTATGGGAAGAGTGAGAAGCAAAAGGAGAAAGAAAGACCAGCCAGGGTGAGGGATATAACGTGAGTGTGAGAAATACTCCGTGGTAGGTAGGGGCTGGTCTCAGGTAGGCCTTACTAGTTTGGAATGAGTGGAGGCAGAGTCGATTTGGAAAACAATACAATATAAAGGCAAGATGCACAGATTACATGGTGGCTCTGAAGATGGGGGGAGAGGGGAGAAACTGGCCTATGAGAAATATGTAAAACCATTGATTAGGTTTTCAAAAACAGAATTAACCCGAAGAAAGGATTAAAGCCCCAACCTATTCTTTCTCTGTTGAAATATTAGCATCTATTGCGTGTTTAGAATTGATCTATCATTTATAGAATTCACTGCTGTAAGCAAAAATTAAAATAAAATTTTTTCATATAGCCTGCACTCTACTGGGGGCAACCAAACAAGAAATCAACAATAGAAACAAGAACCTACCAGAGAATTCGAAAGAGTGATGTTGCAGTGACTCAGATAGTACCTGCTGTGCAGATATCAGGAAAAGCATTGGAACTGGCTGCGGTGGTGGTACACCCCTGTAATCCCAGCATTCTGCTGGATGCTGAGGCATGAAGATCCGGGCTTCATGGTCAGCATGGAGCCTGGTGATGCACAACTTTAATCCAGCACCCAGGAGGCAAAAGCAGGCAGATCTCTGTGAGTTCAAAGCCAGTCTGGTCTGCACAGCTACCGTTACATATTGAGACCGTGTCTAAAATTAATTTTAAAAGGAAGGGTAAAGATGGCAGGTGAGGGGAAAACCATGAGAGGAGCCAAGAGTTAGAGGGAGGGAGGAAGAGCCTCTTAGACCAAAGATCAAGTGTGTGACGTCCCCAAGCAGAGAACAGGCGTTCAGGATCAGAGGCGGCCATCGTGACTGGGACATAGTGGCCTGGGAACCCCACTTTACACAGCCTTTCTCAAGGAAGGAATTTTGTGGAGGAAAGGAAGCCATAGACAGGAATGTGGCAAGTAATTTCACCAAAATCTCTGGAGATTGGATCATATGGGAGGGGAAGGTAGGAGGTAGCTGTGTCATGGGCCAGCTGAGGGAAGGGAATCAATTTGGAATTAAAAGTCAGGAGATGTAACTCGGTGGTAAATCAGCTGACTACTTAGTACAAGGCCCTGGATTCCACTCCCAGGACCACTTGCTGATGTGATGAACATGGGGATAAGAAAAAGCAAGCTTCAGGTCCACAAAAACAACAGTGGCTACTGGAAACTAAGAGGAGAAGGAGCCTAAGAGAATCTCTCCCCTATTGATGCTTCATCTCAGTAGACAAAAGTCCTCACCTGCCTTAGGCCCAGCCTGCCTGACACACCCAGTATGTGGAAAAGGAAGGGTTTCATTGAGCCAGACCCAATGGTCACTTCTAGATCCAGTTCATAACAGAGTGCCACCAGCCCTGGTCCCAAGCAAGTACTATCAGAAGACAGCAATGGTGTCCCAACCCCCTTGAGCTGAAAGGGACAGGCAATCACATCTTAGCCAAACAAATCCCAGAGAGACCTCAGGCAGTGTGTGAGCAAGGCAACACTTTATTTCTTTGGTTTCAAACTTTGCTGTGGGACAGTGAAAAGCTCAGTCTCCCATCAGCTTTGTAACCTTGTGACAGCTTGCCAAAGATATGACTCAGCACAAAGGCAGGTCCCCAACAGCCAACCAGGCTGGCAGGGACAGCAGAGACCTCCTCTCCAGGGTCTCCAGCGCCTAGCCCACCATGGTTGGTCCTATGAAGTCCAGCTTATGATCATGAAGAGCCTGGCACCTCCTCCACTGGGGGCACGAGACAAAGCCACACATCTGCCTCACATTAACTCCCTTGTTCTTTTGGAAGTCACCTTTGAGGAAAAAAGGACATTACCCGCCCCCCCCCCAAAAAAAGTAAAGACATTCTGCTTGAGAGAAGATAATGACCATGCTCTAATACTCGTTGTGGGCCCAGGAAAAGCCACAGGCAGCCGTGGCACACTCATAGCTTCCACAACCACTGGCAAGGGGGTCCTGCAAACCCTCCTTAATGAAAAAAAAAACTAAACAATAAAAACACATGGCCATCCAACAACCAAAGAGCCAATTGGTACTCCTATGGCTTTCATTATTTCTACCCCTCCACCCCAAGCTGGAAATTATGGAAGACAGAGTAAAGGGCATCCTGGCAAGCCAGGCGACAACTCAGGTCTCTCCTTCTCACTCTCTTGTGTCACCTCCCCATCAGCCATCAACCAGTGTGAGGCCTTCAAAGAGTGCCCGCTTCCACATGTAGTAGGTGGAACGTGCTGTCAGCGGGAAGAGAGACTGGAACTCCTTGTAGGAGGGGAAAGTCTTGGACTGGAAGCGCTTCTGTAGGAACAGCTTGGCTTGGGCCTTGAATCTTGTGGTGGTAAGCATGTCCATCACCAGCACCTGGCCATCCCTGCCACCTGCCGCCGCCGCCACAGTCTGGCCCGATAGGGATCCACTGTGGGGTTGGCTTTGGGTCATAGCTGTCTCCTGAATGACCCCTTCTCTAGAAGGCCCTCCCTGGGCATCTTCTGTGGGGGTTTCTGAAGAAGCGGCCACTGGCAGTGTCTGCACCCGAGGAGCGATCACAGAGGTTCTATTCTCAACAGCTTCCGTCTCCTGCCATTCAGCTGGCTCCTGCCGTTCCTCTGGCTCCCGCCTCCTTTGGCCCAAAGAGGAGGAAGCCTGCATCCTGGGCCATCCCCGGGAAAGACTTTTCCACACCCAAAAAGTAGAGGGTAACAGACTAGGGTAGCGGAGGCGGAAGCGACAGAAGGGCAGGTGCCCGCTTAGCACCTGTTTGCGGGCAGCCCTACGTAGTCGCCTCTGCCAACGAGACAAGGGAATCTTTGTGGATGTGAACCCCTGGGAAGTAGGAGGGTCTCCTCCTCCTGCTTTCCCTGTGCCCTCTTCTCCCACCTCACCCTTCAAAGAGAGCAGGGCCGCATCCCCAACATCTGTTGGGGGCAGAGACTCGGTGGTTGCAAGGGCTGGGGCCAGCTTAAAACTGGGGCCCCTCCTGAGGGCCTTCCTCCTCCAGTTGTAGTATGTGGATCTCGAGATGCCGGGGAACCTGCATTTGAAGCAGCGATAGGGTACCAGTTTGTTCACGGAGATGCAATGTTCTAGGTACGACTTGGCACGCTGCATTAAGACCATGCTAGGGCTAGACACCGCCACTGCTGGTGTGGAGCACCCCAGCCCCTCGGCAGCCTTCTTCTCTGGGAGGCTCTCCAGCTCTGGCACAGCCAGTGGCTCGCTGGGTGGAGTAGACGGGACCAAGGCTGGATAGGCACCAGAGTCCAGCAGCTCATGCTTCCAGGTATAGTAGGTAGAACGGGAGATCTCAGGGAATCTCTGCAGGAACTGTTGCAATGGCACAAGGCCCCCACGGTAAAAGCTGTCCTGCAGGAAGTGCTTGGCCGAGAAGCGGTTGGCTACCTTCTGCCGGTGCTCCTGGGTCTGCCGCCGCCAGCGGTAGAAGGTGCTCTTGGTGATGTTGGAGCGGTCACAGAGGTGGGAGTAGCTGAGGCCAGGTTCGCGGTTGAGCAGCTCCAGGGTTTTGGCTGGTGGTAGCAGAGGACTCAGGATCGGAGGAGAGGAGTCCAGGGTAGCAGCACCATCAGCCTCCATCTCTTCCAGCCCAACCACGGGGGCAAAATACTGGTGACGGAAGAGGTGGCTAGTGAGGGGCTGGCCAGCCCACATAATGTGCAACATGGAGGTCACGTTGGTGCAGCGGCGAGGCCTGATAACACGGTTAAAATAGGGTCGGATCTTGACATTGCGCATGGGGTAGATGGAGTAGATGTTGTGCTGAAGGATGGAGGCAAGGGCATACAGGTGCCACACATTGGAGAAGCTGCTAGGGAAGCACGTAGCCTTGACGTCTGCGTCAAAGATGGCCTCCAGTGTGGCAGAAGACAGGTTGCTCATCTCGGGGGACTCCTCTGAGCACAGGGAGTAGCGCACAGCCTGGAGCATCACCTTGGAGTCGATCATACCCTGGAGATAATAGTGCCTGTGCAATAGCATCTCCACCACGGTGCGGGCCCGCAGCTCCAGGCTGAGGCCCGTGTGCCCCCACAACAACATGCTGGCAGCCTCAAACAACAGGCTTCCCTCGCCCTTGCACACTAGGGGCAGCATGTTCCGTGGAGCATCCTCTGGGTACAGACTCAGGGCCACAGAGTCCACCTCCAGCACCTGGGGTCCAGGGCCACCCTTCTGGCAAATCGGGAGGGTGAAGGAAGATAGGACCCGTTTGGCCTCCAGGGCGGCACTGTTGAGCCCTTCCAGGCCCACTGACTCTACGGCCTCCTGCAGATCCCGCAGAACCTGCCGTACCAGCTGATCCCGAGAAGTCATCCTGACAGGGCAAAAGGAGAGAGGACAGAGGTCAAAACAAGATACCCAACAGTAATATGGATGCCCTGTGCACTCCTATACCTTCCCCCCAGAGCACTGGTTCTCAACCTGTGAGCCATGACCTATTGAGGGGTCGAGTCACATGACCCTTTCATGATGGGGGGAGTGTGTTGCCTAAGACCACGGGAAAACACAGATATTTCCATTAAGATTCATAACAGTAGCAGAATTAGTTACAAAGGAACAACAAAAATAATTTTATAGGTCACCACAACATCAAAGGGTTGCAGCATTAGGAAGGTTAAGAACCACTGTCCTGGAAGTAATGGCCACTTACTCCTATTCCTCCAGAAGAGGTAACAGCTAATTGCTACTTTGGCTTTGTTAGTCACTCAGTGGTTCTGAGAAAAGCATAGACTCTAGAACTTGGCTTTGAATCCTGGTTCTGATATGAGTTTGGCACAACACTTAACCTTCTGCCTTCCCTCCTATAACATGGGAAGCCTACCTTAGAGACTCTACAGTCTTAGTTACTACAATGAAAGTTTAAAACAAAAGCACATGCAATCCCAGGACTGGAACTGGGAAGGCAGGAGGATCATAAATTCAAGGCCAGCTTGGGCTACCTAGCCAGATTCCATGTAAAAACAGACAAACACAGGCACTTATCTTTGTCCCATGTTCCTCCCTAGAACAGTAGCGACACATAATAAAGCCGTATAGAATGTTAATACCACACACCATCATCTAATACATACAGGTTCAGCAGATATGCAAACCATACCTCTACCAGGCATGGTTTCGAATGCATACATACCTATGATACAGCAGATATGCAAACCACACCTATATGAGCATGGTTGTGAATGTCTGGGAGGTAGAGGCAGCTAGATCTCTCCAAGTTCCAGACCAACCAGGGCTACAGAGAGCAACCTTGGCTTGTAATAAATAAATTTAACTATCTTGTAAATTTAACTATCACGTAAGAGCCAAACCTAGAATAACAATTCCCAAATTATAGTCCTAGATCTGTCATAAATTATTTTAAGGAGCTGGAGAGATGACTCGGAGGTTAAGAGCACTGGTTGCTCTTCCAGAGGTCCTGAGTTCAATTCCCAGCAACCAAGTGGTGGCTCACAACCATCTATGAGATCTGGTGCCCTCTTCTGCCTTGCAGGTAGAACGCTTGTATACATAGGAAATAAATCTTTTTAAAAAATATTTTGAAAATAATACTTAGACAAAGCATGATAATTTAACACAATGATATAACTTGTATTCTTATAATTGAATGAAACTGTTGGTTTATGGTGGGGAGTGATGGCACACTCCTAGCACCCTGGACTCTAAAGCTGAATGATTATTGCCATGAGGTTGAAGCCAGCACAGACTACAAAGTGAATTCCAAGCCAGCCTGGCCTACAGTGTGGGAACACACCTTTCCTAATTATACCAGAAGTCATGTTCTTTCTCCTAATGTCCCTGGAGGATACCCTTGACAGAGGACAGGAGAGGAGAGGAGAGAGAAGTTTTACTACAGATTTAAGGACAGGTCTTAGGAGAAAGGCTTAGAAAGATGACCTGCCCTAGAGCAGCTTAACTTCTCAAGAGAGTTGGCCAGAATACTACTTTTAGCAAAAGACTTATGGACATTATAGTAAGGTATGGCAGCACACATCTGTGATCGCAGCTCTGTGAATCTGAGACAGAAGTCAGGTTCTGAGTTTAAGCTCAGCCAGGGCTATAAGGCTAATTCAAGGGCAGTGGGAGCCACAGCTTAACTTCTCAAGAGAGTTGGCCAGAATACTACTTTTAGCAAAAGACTGATGGACATTAAAACAAAACAAACAAATGACCAACACACAGACAGAGAAATGGGTTATAGAGACTCAGACATATTTGACAGATATTTCTCAAAATTGAATCAGGTAATGAGCTGAAGAGATGGCTTTATCACTGCTGCTCTTGCAGAGGACCTGGGTTTTATTCCCAGCACCCACACAAGCATCTGGAACTCCAGTACCAGGAGATCCAATACCCTCTTCTGGCCTCCTTGAATACTAGGCAACATATATGCATACATGTGATATACATCCATGCAAAGCACCTATACACATAAAATAAAAGTTAATTTTTTTCTTTCTTTTTTTGTTTTTGTTTTTAAGACAGGGTTTCTCTGTGTTATCTTGGCTGTCCTGGAACACACTCTGTAGACCTGGCTGGCCTAGATCTCACTGAGATCCACCTGCCTCTGCCCCCCCCCCCAGTGCTGGGATTAAAGGTGTGCACCACCACCACCACCACCACCACCACCACCACCACCACCACCACCACCACCACCACCGCCGCTGCCGGGGTTAAATTTTTTTAATAATACAAAAAAGAAGCTTATCTCTTCAAAGAAGTTAACTACATTACTGTAATTTAAAAGTTTGAATTTTTACCTGAAAATAGGAAGGGAAATCACCAACATCCAGGAATTCAGAGCTATCCTGGGAGATATCATTAAGACAGTCTATATCAAAAGATGATAATAGAGACAGGTGCAGGCAGCACACACCTTTAATCCTAGCATTTAGGGCCAACCTGGGCTCTGTAGTAAATTTAAGACTAGTCTGGCTGATCCTGTATCAACTCCCTCCAATTTTTTTCTTTTTCTTTCTTTTTTTTTTTTTTGGGGGGGTTGTTGTTTTTCAAGACAGGGCAGGGTTTCTCTGTAACTTTGGAGCCTGTCCTAGAGCTAGCTATGTAGACCAGGCTGGCCTTGCCTCCATTTTTTTTTAAACTTGATATCTACTATAGTAACCTTGACAATTCCCCAATACCTCAATATGGTTTTAATGCTGTGTATAACCATATTGTCAGCATTTCAATTAAAGTGTTAAATTACAAAAAAATCTATATTACTACATAACTGAGGGATGACTTTATAAAGTCAAGCACTTTGTAAAATCTGCAAAGTATAACATAACATTTTCTTGTTTTACTTTTTTCTTTAAATAGGGTCTCCAGAGCCCGCAGAAATCTGGGAATAGTTATGGTTTGAAACCTGCATTATAACTAAGTTTTGACTAACTGTCATACAGAGTTTACATACAATAGCAAAAACATGCATTGAAAAGTCATCAAAAGGGGATGGAGAGATGGCTCAGTGGTTAAGAGCACTGACTGCTCTTCCAGAGGACCCGGGATCAATTCCCAGCACCTACATGGCAGCTCACAACTGTCTGTAACTCCTGTTCCAGGGAATCCAATACCCTCATAAAGATATTCATACAGGCAAAACACCAAAAATAGAAAGAAAAGTCATTCAAATAAGGATCAAAGCTGTGTGGTGGTGGCACACTTTTAATCCCAGCACTTGAGAGGCAGAAGCAGGTGGCTGTCTGTGAGTTTGAGGCCAGCCTGGTCTACAAAGTGAATTCCAAGATGGCCAAAGCTGTTTCACAGAGAAACCCAGTCTCAAAAAACAAGATAAATAAACAAGATAAATAAAGGGATTAAAGTCAGATTTTCCTATTCCCCACCCCACCCCCAACAAACCTAGTACGGAAGAAGTCTGAAGAGAATATAAAATGATCCTTACTTTTTCTGTGGAAATTTTTTTTTTTTTTCAAATTAGTTCCAGGCATCAAACCCAGGGCCTTGAACTCAGCAGTGGTAAAACTCCCACCACCGAGCTCTGTCCACAGCCTTGGAAAAGTTAACTTTTCACCAGTGATTATCTGTTACTATTTCATTTTTACTTCATTTTAAATTCAGTATTAGGTGTTGAACCCAGGGCCTTGAACATGCAAGACCAGTGACCTCAGCCCCTTGGTTTTCATTTTGACATTGAGATTACCAATATAAGCAAAGGCTTCAACCCCTCATTTGAAGAGTTAGCAGAGACCCTGAAACAAAGAGTTGAGAGCAGCTGTCCTGGAATAGATGGTCTTTCGCAGCGGCAACAAGGAAGGCTGTCTGGTGCAGAGGACTAGTCGAGCATTGGAGACTGCTTATTCTAAACCCAGCAGGACAGAGCCGGAACTACGGGGTCAGCTCAGTGGTAGAGCACTTGCCTAGCATGATGGAGACCTTATGCTCAACCCCCAGTACTGCATAAAAGACAGATGGGTAGAGCTCAGTAGGCACAGTAGCGCCCAGAAACCTGGGCCTGAGCTCAGAGCATCAGGGGAAGTGGCACACACCTGTATAGTCAGGAAGGTTCTTAACGCTTCCTGGCCAGCCAAGCTAGCTGAATCAGGAGCTCCAGGTTCAGTTACAGAGCCTATCCCAAAAAGGAAGATGAAGAGCAATGTAGGAAAGATGCCCAACATCAAACACAGACACACCACCCCCCAGCGCGCCTGCACACGCACGCACACACACACGCACACACACCACAATCCCCCAGCACAGATACACACTCTCACACACAGACACACACTCACACTCTCTCTCTCACACACACACTTTCTCTCTCATACACACAATAGTCAAGGAGGAACATTGTTCACTGCCAAGCCGGATGATCTGAGATCTGAGTTCAATTCCCGGAACCCACATGGTAGAAAAAGGGAACAGACTCTGGGCATTGTCCTCTGACTACCACATGTGTGCTATGGCATGTATGCCCATTACATACAAAATAAATAAATAAATGTAATAATTTAAAAAGAAATCTTGGTTTCAACAGTTAAGAACATTTGATCTCACTGATCACCCAGGTTCAATTCCCAGCACCTACATGACAGCCCACAACCTCCATTAACTCCAGTCCCAGGGATTCTAAACCTCTTCTGACTCCTACAGACATGCATGTGGTGCACAGACATACATTCAAGCAAAACTCATACACATAAAATAAAAATTTAAAACTATATAAATTTCAGGGCAGTAGTGGTGCATGCCTTTAATCCCAGCACTCTGGAGGCAGAGGCGGGCAGATTTCTGAGTTGGAGGCCAGTCTGCTCCACAGAGTTCCAGGACAGCTTGAATTACAGAGAGAAACCCCATCT